TGAAACCAAAAAATTTCGCCATTCTACTCTGCAAAACACTGCAATTGTTCGGATTTAGATCCTTCTCCATTTGAGACATTCGTTGAGATCGAAGATGCCCTTGCTTTCGCCGTAGCATTATCTGCTGTACTTTCCACACAGTCAAGCCTACATAAGCTTTATATTTTATGCATTTCAAGATGTGTTTGGGAATGTCAAGTCTTCACAAATTTGGATATTCATTAGCTAGCTTTCGCACAACGATTGAGGAGGATGGATAACGTAAGGGAATGAAACCTAGCCGTAGACCCCTAAATATTTTCAACGGGAGTGGGTGCCGGGCTTTACTACCGAGAACTGAACGTCAGGCGTGCAGTAAGGTTACCTGACCATTGCAGCTTATTTCAAGGAGACGTTTTCGCAATGAGGATAGCAGCAGAGCTAGCCTACACCGAAATGACAATCAATTCAAAAGTTAACCTATACGTAGATAGTCAAGCGGAAATTAAGCCAGTTACCTCATATAGTATTTCATCCATAAATGTCCTTAGCAGCCGGGAATACATTATTGACAGGTTGGCCGCCGACAGAAGGCTGAATATGTATCGGGTGCCCGGCCACAAGCGAATAGAGGGTAATTAAATAGCTGCTGAGAATGCCATGCACTAAAAAATGGGTATCACTAGCGAGGATAGGTGCAGGAAGTGTCATGAGCGGGATACCATGGAAACCTTGGAGCATCTTCTCTGCCGATGTCTTTGACTGTCAAAAACACGACTAAAAAGCTTGGGATCCTTCAAATTCTCAAAAGTAGGGCTGAAATTTCTACTTAAATTGGCAAAAAAAAACGTTGACGTCCTTTCTGATGTCTACTTTAACGCTTAAAAACGAGCTCCAACTGGCAACGCTAAGGACCTACCGGTCTATGTGCAGCTTCCACGTCGGCCCGGCCAGATTAGCTGAACTTAACCTAACCTTTTTTGCCTTACTAGTGAAATATTAAGAAACGTAGACAGAATTTTCTCGCCTTTATTTTAGAATCGAACACGTAAAGAGAAAAGGGCAATCAAAAGGTGAAATTTTTTGGTAGAAACGAAAACACCATTACAGAGTGGCGAAAAGAATGGGCGATGCAAAAAAATTCGAAATAGTAAAATTTATCTAATATCTGCATAGAAAGAATACCATATAAAGAGTTAGACCACTTCAATGAGGTATCCCCATACTTTATTGATGTGTTTAACTCAGCTGGAGCATAGCGAGCAGAGAAGTGCCACATCGAAGGCGGTTAATGACGAACTGACATGGGTATCAGCGCTGACTGCAATGATTACTCTAAAAAAATTTGGACCACCTAACCGAACAACGTACATTTTATATTGGTTTTTCATGATTCGCTGACCTGCTGTTTTGAATATCGTGTGCGATATGTATCTTATAGAATATAACCACTTACTCAATCTAATTTAAATAGATTATAGGTACCGCACGACAAAAACCCAAAACATTTTGAAACACACGAAACAATCAATATACTCACGAAACTATGGGCCAAGTGTGGTTTTTCTTCCCTCCCATATAAAATATGGGCAAAAATAGACGACGGACTTTTATGAAAACTAGTGTGAAATTTAGTGAAATTGAGGACGTCATAAGCATTTCGTTTGACAAATGTTATTTTAATTAAATTATATTTGATTTAGCAAATAAGTGGCAATCCACTTAAATATATTTGCAAGCTAAAACCTTCTTACACCTATTTCGTATTTCTCCCTTATGGTGATACCTGTCCATTCCAATACCTAATTCCAATAATTTAAATAGAATTAATTTTTTTAATCAGGTGGCAACCCTCCATGTAGCTAAGATATACACCCTTTCCATACCCATTTCGATTGATAGCCAACTTTTATTAATTAATTTAACTTATAAATAATTTGCATTTATTTTTCTAACGGATCGCAACTCTTAAAAAAAATAACTTTATTATCTACAGGTCAAACTTTTTGATCTGACACCTCAGTTTTCAAACTCGAAAGAAGCGTGCAGATATGATGTCACTGAAAAAAACTAAAAAAAAAAAAAAATTTAAGCATTATCGAAAAACGCTTTACTTCAAAAGGTACAAAAATAAAACTAATTAAAAATAACATATTTTTACATAAATTTTCTATTCATTCCATTGAAAGTTACCATTTTTTGAACATTTTTATCAAAAAAATTGTTCTTTCTGGAATAGAGTAGGGACATCTCGTGTTTGATTTTATTTCAAATTTCAGTTCTGTTCTCTGCTATATAAGTATGTGGAAGTAAAAAACGTCAAACCAACAACACCCAATTAATCACATCTTTAAAATTTTTTCAAAGTCATTTTAAGAAAAATCCTGACGTCAGAGCGAAAAACTTAAAACGTAGTTTTACAATTTTTGCAAATATAATACGCAAAAGTTCCTTTAAGTCTTTTATGAGTTTGATTTCCACAGTACTTTCCAAGGAGTTCTAAAGAAAGAAAGATTCACTTCCGTTCACTGCATTCTTTATTTCCCAATTGTATATTTGTGTTTATGTACGTGTGTGTATTTTTTGTTTATGCTTAAATTTGTTTAGTAATTGTTGTTGGCTACATTTTTTCATAAATTCCATAAAAGAAAGCAATAAATAATTACTAATCATTACACATTTAGCTAAATATACATATGTATTTAATACTTTAGTTTATTAATATAGTTAAAGATAGTAGGTCTTTACACAGGCATTTTTGTATGTATGTATGTATGTATGTATATGAATATTTTATTGTATGCTAGTTTTTGCATTGACAACTACTTTATTATGTATGTAATTTAATACATATTTATTTGCATGTATTATTTACATATTTATTATATTTATTGTGCGAGTAAATGCAGAGAAAAATATTTGCAAATCGCTATGCAGATATTGATTATGAAACAAAGTATTTGATATTTTTAAAAGCCCATAATTTAGCTTCACATAAATAATTGTATTTGATTTATTTAATATCTTTTTCTTTGATATCATTTTAAACTGCTTACCGTCTTATTTATATACATACATAAATTCAACAAAAAAAAAAATTTGTTAATTTCTTTTTTTACATATTTTTTTTTCTTTCGAAAAATATAGTCAACTTTGCACGCTTGTCGGTCCGATTTAGGTTGTTTAGCAAATCGCAAATATTTTCCTCTTAACAACGCAGTATTTTTCCTTTATTTATTTTTATTTGCTGTTTTGTAAGACAAATATTGGCTAAAGTGTAGACAATTTTACCGTTGTTTTTGAGAAAATACATGTATTTGTATGCATGTATTGTACACATTTCAGTGGCATAAAATACAAATTAAATTTCTTTTTTAAACTCTTTATTCATAGTTTTTTTTTGACTTGAAAAAAATAAACGGCTTTAACTATGACCTTTACAATTTCAAGCGAAAAAATGCTAAAAAATGTGTGTTTCGGCTGTGAAAAGGGGAAAAACCATTAGTCGAGTTATTTTTTGTACCCCAAAATTACACCGAAATAAAAACGGATATATTTTGCAAACTTTTAACTTGATGGAAAATTTTGGTTTCCAAATCCATATGAAGTCAGTTCATCAAAATGCGTAAATGTCTCGTAACCACGTAAACTTGCTTAATTTTGTATGGAAACCCGTTTTATTTACGCGGTTGCCGCGATTACGACGCATTTACGGATTTAGATGAATTCCCGTATATTTCTTTTAACTTTAAAAGTTCCTTTCTAGCATCGTTTCATGCACGTATTGTATCTGTGGAAATTTTAAGGAATAGACTAAGTCCTGTTGGACCCTTTTTTCTGCAAAGTATTATTTCGTTGGGTTCCTATTCATTAGTTATTATTTTAAATATCAATGTTAAAATAATTTTTAATAAAATTTTTTTATGCTTTAGGCAAAATCATGTAAATCAAAGCTTTGAAATTTATTAAAAATTCAACAAACTACGAGTATCATAAAAATTTCCAATTTTTCAGTCTAAATTTTTTTTAGAAAATTGTTGGGTTGTTTGGGTGGTCCAAAAACAGTAAAGTCGGAATGGTATTACTCTCACCCCCTAGGATTGTTCTATAGCGAAAAAAAGTATACCCCTATTTTTTCTATTTTGAAATCAAAAAATATTTAGAGGTCGCTCAAAGCGGACCTAGTTGCGATGAAAAAATGGTTAATTAAACAATTGGGTATTATTACTCGGAACCTTCTGCAGATAAGCAGAGTTTTCCAATAGAAAAATCATAATTTTTAAGAATTCAATACCATTTCTACGAAAAGTTGGTTTTTTCTCCACATATAACATAAATGGTAAAACTTTGGGCGTTTTGAGCGACCTCTAAATATTTTTTGATTTCAAAATAAAAAAATATGGGAATGTTTTTTTTTTGGTATAGAACTATCCTAGGGGTTGAGAGCATAAAAATTCCGACTTTACTTTTTCACATGCATTTTTGTACCACCCTAGTATGCAATCTAAAAATTTTTTTCTGACGGTTTTTTGCGGTTTTATTTTTAATTTTCTACACACAAAATTCACGATTTTATGGAAAATAGTGCAACGATTTTTTTTTAATTCACGCGATTTTTCAACCGCATACCCAAAAATTTTCTAAAAATTTCGATTAAAGAGTTCAATACCTTGAAGATTTTTTTTTTAATTCTTCTAAATTTTATATAAACTTTGAAACATTGATTTATACAGTTTTGGTTAAAGAATGAACAATATTTTCATAAAAAAATGTGAAAAAATTTCAATTTGAAAAACACTGTGAATATTTAAAAAATATATCGCCATTACCTCAATTTAATATCGCCAGTGTATGTAGTATTTAAAGTACTATTCTCTCATCAAAGTTGTAATTTGTTATACCTTTAAAAAAAAATTAAAAAAATGAACTAAATTTTTTTGAGAAAGTTCATTGTTTTACCATCTAAAATCAAAATTTCTAAAATCGCCAAATTTGTTTTTTTTTTTTGCAGAAGTCCACAGATACGTATCGCTCATTTACTTCAACAGTGTCATATTACAAAAAAAAATACAAATATTGAGCTAAGTATGCAGAAGTGACCGCTACAATTCAAAATTTTAAAGGCATTTTTCTCGAGTTTCGCTTTTTTGAGTTATTGCGCTATTGAAGTAAATGAGCGATATGTATGTACGTACATACTTCTGTACATACATACATTTCTAATACCTTAGAAACTGTAAAAATCATAGTTACCACCTCTTCTTCATATATATTTTTTAATTTTATGTTTTTGAAATTAAGGTACAGTGTGCTTTTATGCTTGGAACTATATTTTATTTATATTCAGGGCTAAAGTGTTCTCATTAAATTTTTTGTTGAAAATTTTCGAAACAACTTTAGAGCGGTATTCACACCGATAAAAGCAAAATTTGAAAACGAATTCTTAATTTCTTCTTAAAAAAATCAGAAACTATAGCATTAAAAAAAAATTAGAATGAAATAAAACAGAAAACCTAAACTTCAAAATACCGAAAATATTGTTGCTAAACGAAGGTTAGTTTAGAATTTGCTTAAACTTTTGGATTGGTTTGGATTGTTTTATTTTTATCTTTAAATTTTTACGATTATATCCACACCAAAAAGATTTACTAAAAATACCAAAGCAAAAATAGTACATAGCCTGGTTAATCATTTTGTGAATACTCGTATAATGCATAAAATTCTAATTGGCTGGTCACTAGAATTTTAGAATTATACTTTTAAATCACTTTTCTCTTTTTAAATTATTACATCACCAAACCGCTGCGAAAACCACAAAGACAATTGATATACATAAATAAATGCAAAACTTCATACAAATAATGTCGAGACTTGTGTATTCATATGTATGTACATACATATGTGTATATGTGGATCCTACTCTGGACTTTCGTGCGGGCATTGAATATAAGCGCCAGCAAAGCCAATAAACTAAACAAGCTCGAACCTGTGTTGTGCCCGATACGTCATGGAAAGATTACTCATGCGCCACTCTCAAGAACACAATTCGCACTTGGGCGCTCCCAGTGGTGTGAGTAATCATACGGCGAAAATGATGAAAACAGCCAAGAAAGCTGTATTTATATATGTATGTATGTATGTACATATATTTTTGAAATTTAATAAATTTGTGATCCAAAGGCAGTGGATGCAGCAATAAATTTTGTAAAACAAAAAAAAAATCCAGTGCAGCTGCACTGAGCGCACCGAAAGTTCATGAAATTATTTTTCGCCGAAAAATAAAAACACCAAAAACTCAAATTCTTGTGGTCGCTAGTAAATGCAAAAAATGAAATCAGTTCAGAGTTTAAAGGCCATTCTAAAAGGTACACGAAATGAAAGCACGCTCTCTTCCGATCAACTTAAGTCTGTCCCTCTTCGTCCAATTCATCCACGTCCTCCTCCACAATCGGCTTTTTATCGTCCATTTTCCTGCCAATAAAACGCTGAAATACTGTTTTCTTAATCACATCCGCTCGCCCACCTCCACTGCCCAAACTAATTGTAAATCCACCGCCTGTGGCGCCCCAGTGTGACTTGCCTGCCTCCGTTGAGGTCATTAACATCGAATAGGATGAGCAAACCTCACCCTCCTTGCTGTGATGTATGCCGTACAGGAAATAGATTAGCATGCCTAGTGCGACCCAAATAAAGAAACGCAGCCAGGTGAGCGCACTCAAGTGCACCATTAGCACAATGTTACAGAAGATGCTTAGCGCCGGCACGAATGGGACGAGCGGCACTTTGAAGTTGAGGCCACGCGTATTCTGGTGATGCACCCCAATGACAGCGACACAGGCGCCCGCAATGAAGATCATAAAGCCGTACAGCAATAGCGCCCACCATGTACCCGTGTACAGCTCCGTCCAGGATACTTCAAGTTGAAAGCAAATGGCAAAGCTGAGCACTGAGAAGAGTAGCACCGCCGCCGACACGGCCGATCCGGGCTCAAAGCGTCCCAAGAGCGGTTCGAGCCAACGAAATTGCTGCTTCAGGCGACCGGCAAGTGCGCCCTCGATCAAGTCGCTGGTGGGCGAAGCGGTGTCGATGCTCAATTGCGAAGTATTGTCGTCCTCATCTTCGTCGGGTGTGTCGGGCGCGTAGATGGCATTCTCTTGGCTAACCAGCGGTCGATAGCGTAGTATAATAACGCTGGCGGAGACAATGGTATAGGCGAGCAGCGTGCCAATCGACATGAATTCGACGAGCTTCTCCAAATCGAAGAGTAGCGCGAGGGTGGCGCTTAGAAAGCCAGAAATAATAAGATTGAGAACTGGCACCTGCGTTGTGGCGTTGATGCGGCCAAAGCAACTGAAGAGCAGCCCATCCGATGCCATGGCGTACATGCAGCGCGGTAGAGCAAACAATGAACCCAAGAGTGTGGTTGTCATGCCGCAGAGCGCGCCAATCGAGATCACATATTTCGCCCACGAAAGATCCATCTGTCCGAAAGCCTCTGGCAACGAAGCAGCTGGGTTTATATCGCGTATCGGTATCATTAGCGTAAGCGCAGCCGAGACCAATATGTAGCCCACTGTAACAGCGCTGAGTGAGAGTAGCGTAGCTATCGGTATGGAAATAGCAGGGTTCTTTGCCTCCTCCGACGAAGTGGCAATGGAATCGAAGCCGACAAAAGCGTAGAAACAAGTGGCGGCACCGGCAATAACACCACCAAATCCGTAAGGCAGGAAACCGCCTTCTGCCTCAGACCAATTCCTTGCGTCCGCATACCAAAAGCCCAGACTAATTACCAAAATCATAACAGCAATATTCACCAGCGTCAGCAAGCCGTTAAAAACGGCTGTGGCCTTCACGCCGATCCCCAATGCGGCGGCATAAACCAAACACACCAAAAAGGCCAGCACATCGGGATAGCGCGCGAATAGTTGCTCATGCATCTCACCGGTTATGGCCAGCGTGGTATTACCAATCCAACCGCCAAGCATCGAGTCCACATATCCACTCCAAGCACGTGCCACTGAAGCGGCGCCCAACATGTGCTCCAGCAGTATATTCCAACCGATGACGAAAGCCCAAAACTCACCAATCGAGATGTAGGTGTAGACGTAAGCTGAGCCAGCTTTGGGTACGCGTGTGCCGAATTCCGCATAGCAGAGTGCCGCCAGCATTGAGACGAAACTAGCCAAGATGAAGGAGAGTATTATACCGGGTCCAGCCATGTCCTTAGCCACGGTGCCGGTGAGGACATAAATGCCAGCGCCCACCATGTGGCCAATGCCTGAAAGTAGAAGATGAAGGTGGAATTTCGTGAGAGATGATTTGAAGTATGAAATATAATCTGGGGAGTGGGAAGAGAGCATTTCAAAGCAGTTTGACCGAGTCGGAGATGACGAAAAAACTCAGAAATATCACGAAAGCCTAAAAACGTTTACTCAAATCTTTAAATTTGTACCAAATTTACCTTAAGAGCTTCGAGTTGCCTTTATTTCTGAGTTTAAGAAAAAAGCTCGAGTTTAACAGCCCTATTCCCACGCCAATGAGAAAATTCACCGGCTGACTATTGTCTTTACTACTGCGCCTAATACTATGCCGCAAATTTATTTTAAGCGCTTTACAGGCCTATTCTGCTCGTTACCGAACGTTTTAACACCGGGAATTTTTTTTACCAAAAAATAACACCATTTCTTGTAACCGCAATTCTAAGCACTTTGGTAACAACTTAATCTATTCAGCAATTCAGCTATGGAGTTTTGTATAAACTCTGGTATTTCATACTTCACGGGGCAATATTTTGTTACCTGCTTATGAAATGGTAACAAAATTTACCAATGCGCAGAATAATTTACCGGTAACAAAATTTTTGTTACCAACGCAGAATAGGCCTGCTAAATGGTGACAATTGTCATTGTTATTGTTATGACCTACTGAGTTCGCGATAACGACGAAACAATGTTTATATTGTGTTTTAGGCGCAGTAAATATGACGGTTTTTAGGCTTTCGAGGCTGGTCAAAAGGAATACACTTATTAAAATGGAGCAGAGAAGAATATACATACAAACTCAAAGAAATTAAAAAATTTCAAATTGCATTTTTGTAAATCTACTTCCGCTTTTCTGCTCTTTACTCTAAAGTATGTTTTCTCAACCCACCTAGCAAAGTTATGTCAAAGGTGTTGAGGCACCGCTTCAGCGGAGTCTCCATGACATCCACAGGCACCGGCTTCGTTCGATTCATCTTCGAGCACAGGCCAGACATGACGTGACCGAGTATAATGCGACGCGTACTTGGCATAATAACTCCACAGGCACCAGATTGGAACGCGCTTAACGATGTCGACTAAATTTCTTCGCACAAACTAAAGGAATTATATTTATATTTAGTTTTTCTACACTAAGCCGCGCAACGCCTACGCGTTATGCAAAAGTGCGACGTCACTACTTAGCATATGCTACGCAAACGTTGCATAGTTTTAGGCTCTTTTGAACTTGTTTGGCCGTTTTTGATAAAGCAGCATACAATTTTCACTTTCAAATCAATTTTTGTAATTTATTTATTAATCGTATAATATTTTTTTTGCACAATTAAAAGACAATTTAACACTTCTCGTTGCAAGCAATGCCGCACTAGCGCTGTTGCAATTTTCACAACTGACAATTGACTCATAAATGTCAGTGTGAAATTTGTTATCGAAGCAAAATGCGATTAAATGATTTTATTTGCGGCGCATGCGCGAAAAATCCATTATCAGGTGCAACAGTGGTCGCACATAAGTGGTTGGCGGTGTAAGAGGGCGGCGTTGTAAACTGAAACTTTGTTTACTTTAGCTGACGTTGACACACCGCTGTGTAGCCTTGATTGTTATTGTAAAGTTGGCCACTTGTTGAGATGGACCGAGATGGTTAGCTTCCGTAGTAACCATCAACTTTCTCATCTTCTCTCCGAAGAGCGAAAATAGAATTTTGTAGTCAATAGCTTTTGCGATTGTTTTTTTTATAGTTGTTGCTGCATGAACTTGAACTTCCTAAATGCATTTACTCGACGTTTTCAGCAGATGGGTGACCGCAAATACCCATGTTAACGTACTTTTATAACATTGGTTATACACTTTGCTTGTCTTTAATATGATTATACGGCGGGAGCTGTAAATGCACATTTTCTTGTGCTTCAAAAGATAGGGAGAGCTGTTGTAAATATAGCTGCAATAAGTAAATTACAGTCACAACTTAATTGCAAAGCCTAGTAAAGCCATTAACAGCTTTGTTAGCTTCACCTGTGTTTTGTTAACTAGATGGAATTTAATTTTATGCAAGTAATTTTATACGATTTTCAAACAAGCGTAACAAATTTTACTAACTATATGTTATCGAATAGGTGTACATACATATGCCAATCTACATATCACTTTTAAATAATTATAAGTTTTAATCTAAGATAATATGTAAGTATGTATATGGTATTTTCTTACTACAGACAGTGCACAACGATTTTGTTAGCGTTATTAATAATGCAAATCTAATAATTCCCACTCTATCCAACTCGTCTCAACTAGTTCCTCAGGGTCATGCAACGTTCCTTGCTGGCTTTTAAAATGCGCCCATATCAGTAGGTATATTTTTTCCAATTTATAATTAATTTCCCTTCGTTTCCTCAGCTTCGACCACCTTCTCTGTTTGTTCTTGTCGACTCTTCAAGATGCTTGTAATGAAAAATTCGCCTGCCTTGTATGAGCTACGTACTAGTGGTCCGCTCGCGGTGTACAAGAAACCTAATTCATTTCCACGCTTCTCCCAATGCTTGAATTTTTCAGGTGTCACATATTCAATAACTTTCAAATGCTTATTTGTCGGTTGCATATATTGACCCAAGGTGAGGCACTCCACACCAGCTTCACGCAAATCTAGCATAGTTTGTTCAACCTCAGCGTCTGTCTCACCCAAACCCAGCATTATGGAGCTCTTTGTAACGAGTTTAGGATTGAATTGCTTCGCTTCCCGCAACACAGTCAACGTCTGGCGGTAGTGAGCGCGTCGATCACGCACAAATGGTGTTAACTTCTCAACAGTTTCTATATTGTGCGCATAAACATCTAGTCCACTATTGGCTATGGTTTCGACGCACTTCGTATCGCCACGAAAATCAGGCACCAGACACTCAACGAAGATGTTTGGATTTCTGCGAAGACAATGTAAGAAATGTAGTGGGTGCATTTTATCAATATTACAAAGTATAGACATTACCGCTCTTTAATTTCACGCACAGTTTCAGCGATGTGATTTGAACCACCATCTGGTAAATCTGGAAGCAAAAACATTCAAAGTTAGCAAAATGTATTTACTTATACTTCATAGCTAGTTAAAATACCATCTCGATCTACTGAAGTCAGCACAATGTAATCTAAACCCCAGGAGGCAATCGCCTTGGCTGTGTTTACTGGCTCAGCGGGATCCAGTGGTGGTGGCTTTCGGGCAGTTTTGACAGAGCAGAAACGACAACCACGAGTACAAGTGTCGCCCATCAGCTGTGACAAAATAAAAGATAAGAGCGGCGTGTAAACAAATCGTGTGAATAAAATAAAACGGATGAAAGCTGTTAAAGGTTATCAGCTAAGTTCACAAAAAAACACATAAACGTAGAATAGATACATATATGCTAATCAGGCAGGCTCTGCAATTCACTTCCGAGTGAATTTCACACAAAATGATTTTGAATCCAAATTGAATGGGTTTTGAAATTCACTCGGAATTGAATTGCAGAGCCTGCCTGAATATACCTCAGACTCTTCCTTACCATAATAGTGGCTGTCTGGGTGCCATGTTCACCACCTCCCCAACATTCGCCAATATTGGGACAGCGTGCCTCCTCGCACACCGTGGCCAATTTCAATTCACGCAACTGTGTTTTAATTTTTGCAAAGTTTTTGCCCATGGGTATGGTGGTCTTTAGCCAAGGTGGCAGGCGTAGTCGTTCATTTTCTCCTTTCTCTCGCCGCAATTTGCCCTCATAATCAGTCCACTCCTCACGTGTATATTCCGGATTTTGTACGAAATCTTGGAAATTTGGTCCTTTGGTTAAACGCTCACGTATTTCTTCAATCTTTTCTTTGGATGCTGGAGCCGTGGCGTTCGTCGCCGCACTTCGTAATGCACCACAAGCGCTAGTGTGCTGCATGTGATGAAATCGAAAGGTTATTAGATTCCAAACATACTCATATCTTTAATTTAATTGACTTACCACGCGCACTGGCGACTTGGGAACGCATTGTCGCAGCATTTAGCTAAGAATGGTTTATTTTCTTTACTTTATGTGGAAACCAGTAAGTGTATTTTTCCAAAATTAATGCGTGAGAATTGAATAACATTCAGCAGCTGTGATAACATTCGACAGCTGATTTTGACAACGACTAATGTGTAATAGTGAGAGCGACATCTACCGGAAAAGGGCGATTATGAGATACTGCAATGGTCGTCAAACTGTCAAATTGAAAAGAATTTTAATTCGGTCCGTAGCCGATTCCATTTTCGGTAAAACCGCAAAAAACGCATAACGCGGTTTCGACTGTCGTAAAAATTATATGTAAACAAATGACCCTATTGACTGATAGCCGATGGGCAACCATATACTAAAATTCGCATTACGTATGGCTACTGGCTACTGACTGTCGGGCGAGTCATTTGTGTACCTGTTGACTCCCCTTCGACTACACACAGTTGAATCATTCAGAGTCATGCCAGGAGTCATGTCATTGGCAAAGTTGCCAATTACTTGGAAAAGTTCAGGTTAAAAAGGTAAATTCGGATGTTTTCAACGCTTTTCTGTATACTGAGACTAATCGCTATTTATAATACAAATTACGATACTGGTAGCCATGGCTACTAAACCAGCAACTAACCTCAGTCGCCATACATAATAGGGCCCAAATTCTTAACAAATATAACATAAATAAATAAAATTATACTTTAAAAAACTAAAACCTCCCTATTATAATTGCCATTCGTACTGTCATCACGTATGTAACTTGAGAATAGAAATCGCTGCATCTTTTAGGCGCATCAAGATTACATAGTTACATCCCGAGCTAATAAAAGGAAGGTAATCAAAAAGCGTTGTAATTAAAAATAGCTAAAATTAAATAAAGTAAAATGGGGGGATTGGCTTTCCTTTACGGCCGATTTTGCTTATTACGTCGGAATGGGTGTGCCGAAAATAATGATGATCACATACACACGTTGCTAAAGACACAATTTTGTTTTCTCTTTCTCCGGCAAAACAGAAACGAGAATTCTACTTCTCTCTAGATATCGAGCCCTAACCGCCAAAATAACGTAAGCGACATTTTTTTCAAAATTTTCTTTTTCATGTAATTATTTTTCAACATACATATGCATGTATATATGTGTGTACAAGTGTAAATCATATTTGTTGAACAATATCATGGTGAAATTATACTAGGTGTAGTAACTAGAGCGAGGAGAATGATTTGACACTATCTTATTTAAAACTTGCCTTTAAAAATTTCTATAAGATAGCCGAATGTCAAGAGAATAAAGCCAGAAAACGTTGTATTACTTCAGCTATTTATAGTTTCACCATGGAACAATATAAAAAAAAAAACATTTCTTGGGAAGATTTTCATTAAGTTGTATTTTTTAAATCATTACGTATTTAGCCTTACAAGTAGTAAGTCTTCAACAGTTTTATTATTTAAATTATTCCTACTTTCACTTAAAACGAAATTTAAAGAAGAAAATGCTCTTTCGACAGATGCTTGCGTTGCAGGTGCACCAAGTACAACAAGAGCTAACTCAAAAAGTTCGGGAGATATGAAACGGATGTTTTGATAAAAAGAAAATATGTCTTCATTCAACGGTAAGCGCCTGTGAAGATTTTCAAAATTGTCTATTTCCACAAAAACTTTAGTCAGATCTGACACGTCATCTTCAGTTGCTGTTGCCGCTGTTTCTTGTGCTATTTGATCCAAATAAGCACTGAGTAATGAGCTTTCGTGATCGCTGGAGGGCTCTCTCTTAATAAACGAACAATGCTGGCTTACTTCTTCAGTAAACACTTGAGTTGTGGGCATGGGTTTACTCTAAAGAAGTAATAACGCTTTAAAATAAATATGTCAAGTCAAACCATGCGTTGTTACCTGTTTGAGGTTGAAAATTTGTCTAGCTGTTGATTTTAAATTAGCCTTTGCCGAAGATTTTTGCGATTCCGTTAACAATACGTTTAGCCGAGGGTCCAAATAAACGGCGCTTAGCAATGTGACATTGCTAAGCAACAAACTTTCTCGATTTAACAGAGAATTATAGATAATTTGCTTGATGCCACCGTTACGACTTTCTCTAAAATTTAGTTTAAGCTCCATCCATATTTTAAAAAGATCACACAGAGGAAGTTGTTCCACTTGGAGCTTCATTGTTGCAGCCCAAATTGGTTCCAAAGCTGATACGTATTCTTGGATCCAGTCCCAATTAACTATAATTTTTTCTTCTTCTACAAAATCCCTTAGTTCTAATAGTTGTTTTACCATAACATAAGTAGAATTCCACCTTATTGCAATGTCAATTGGTGGGACAGCTCTATTGCATTCAGTCAACATATTTCTGTTAGAACTTAGATACATTTATGTAAACGTTTTTTAATATACTAAATTTTACTTACCTATATTTCTCATTACGTAAAAGTTCACAAACTTTGCGAATGTCTTCTATATTGTTTTGAATGCCCTTATCTTTGTGAATATCGGTTACACATAGTTGAAGTGAATAGACTGCACACCGCATGGAATGAAGAGAGCTTGTAAAGAGTATTTCTGGCAGCTCATCTATGCAATCAAATATTTCATAAAAATCTTGATTCACAATTTCTACTGCTTTCAACATATTTCGTCCATTATCAGATGTCACACTATGAGTTTAAAAATAGTTAAGAAAAAGCAAAATTAAGTGGTCTTTGTTTTATTTTATAGATACATAAATACCAATAAATTTGTTCCAGCCGAATATCATATTCTGCAAGGGTATCCAAAACAGTATCTTGAATTTGCTCTCCAGTGTATGGATATGGAGATGTCTTCATCCCAAGAGTTTTAACAACTATTTCTAATGTTGAATTTTTAAATTCTAAGTATTGCAGATTGATACCCAGAATTGATCTATCGAAACGAGTAGCGGTATCTATTTTAATTGATACTAATTTTTTCTCGACGACTTTTTTTATAAATTTTTTCATTTCTACCACACGTTTATTGACCAATTCCATTACGTTATGGGAGTTGATTGAATTCATATTAAGCGCCTTAAATATAGGATTCACTATCTCTCGGAATCCTTCACTATCTAATTGTGATAATGGCTGCCCATCTTTTGTTATTATTTTCACCAAGGAACTTTCGAATGATTCTGCATCTATTTCATATGAAATTCTAATTTTCTTCTTTGGCGGTTCATTTTTCTCTACAGTTGGCGTTAAGTGATTCAAAAAGCTTTTATGCTTGGTTTCTATATGGCGTCTTAAGTTTGTAGAATGTTGGCCTGCGAGCTTGGTCTTGCAAATCTTGCACAGCGAGACGTTTTCCTCCATGCTGTATTCAAACAGGCTTCGAATTTGGTTATTTAGCTCACTCTTAGTTCTGCCCATGTCCAATATTTGTCTTTTCCTATCGATATACGGCAAGCAGATGTGTTTATTTCAAGGAATTGTTAAATTTTTTTCTGTTCAAAATAAATTTCAGAGAAAAACAGAAAAAACCACATAACAAAGATTTTTCTCAGCCAAAAATTAAAATTGTTATCGGTATATCAAAAAAACTGTGGTGAAAGTCGTTTATGGAGACAGGCTTTTCAGAGGTGTAATTTTAAGTGCACGCATGGTTGCTTTTTAGCACTAATGAAATAAACAAAACAAAATTAAACAAAAAACGTGCAATGTTTCAATCTTTTGAAGAAATTAAAATACATGTTTAACATTATTTTATAATTATTAATTAATTAATTGGAACAAATTAATAGCGGTACTCACTTTCCGTAGCATTTTAGGTGAAAGTTGCTACCAACGTTCTACGTTCTTTGAAACTAATATCTGGTTAAAAATAAAAGTACTTTCCTTTAATGGCATGCAACCCTGCGCACGAAATATGCGTATGACACATTCGCTCTCTTTGAAATGTCAGATGAGTCTAATTGGAAGAGTTTTTTATGCACAACGACAAGGCAGCATTACTTTTCCTGACGGTAGGTTTTTGGTGGTTATTTTATAAATAATCAACGAAAAAATTGCATTACTATGTAAGCAAAATATCTAAGAATGTGTGTATAAATAAATGGTGCAAAATTGTGTCTCGAAATTTGTGTAAAATAAGAATAAAATATGTCTGCACACTGATGGCAAAGAGGTGAAAAAAGCAAAATGCCAATACAGCTCCCGTCGCAAAGGCGTATCGCCGAGTGAGCACCCGAGCAGGCGTTTTGTTTGTTGTTACTGTGATAAGTGAATTCTGTACAAGGAATAGACGAAAAAGCTGGCCATACACTGGCTGAGCAAACGTTACATTTATAGAAAAAAAACCTTGTCCAGGCACTGGTGAATCCTTACGAGTTTTTAAAGTTACCTATATAAAACCAATTTTTGTGTTCTTTGTATGCTGAGTGCGATTCTCACACATGAAAAAATTCTAATTGGAAAAGAGCGTTGTTGAACTTGCTGTTCGTCAGGGTGTGACCGCAAATTGGCTTCCGTTTGTGGTGTTCACTGGTGTGTAAAATGCACCTGCACCAAATTCAACGCTGTTCAACAATGACACCCACCTGTTCTTTTCATACATTACGCTTTTCTACGGCCTAAAGCGCTTTGTTAACAAAATGCACATAAAATAAATATAAAAACGCTGTATTGTGTGCAATTATTGTAGAAAGTAGTAAATGGTTGCGACGATTTGTTTCTACATCCATTCATTAGTTTTTCCCTCATTTGTTGTGCCATAAGCAATTGTCAACTTGGTAGGTAATTGGCTGAATGCAATGGCAAATCGGTGAGACTTGCTCGATCTGATTGGAATTGGCTAAAATCAGAAAATGTGTTCAGGAGAGCAAGTAGTTAGTCTGTTCCAATAGCAGTCCGGTTTACAGGATTTAGTCAGAACTTACAGGAAGTCGTTCCTATTGACGTAAAACCTGTAAGTGGGAACACATTTGAGAGAGTAACTGAGCAACTGTTCCTAGTCAGAAGTTACAGGAGTTAGTCCGGAGATTTTTTTCCTGTAAGTTCATGAAAAGTGTCAAACGATCAGCTGATTTACATGTGCAAACAAAAACAGAAAGCCGCGAAAGCAAAGAACCTTATATTTGTTTAAAAATGGAAGTAAACAACGAAATATTTGAATATGTATAGATTTTAATAATTATTTAGTGATATTTCAGCCAAATCAGTGTAGTACCAATGACGTGTAAACAAACCGTCTGACGTTTTTACAGGAAATAGTGCTTTTTGCGTTCCTATGCACTTCTGCATCTGTTCTCCTTTTACTCTCATTTGAGAGCGTAAAATTGTAGTTTGACAGTTCCACAGGTTTTAGTCCGAAGTTCAAAGGAACAGACTAATTGACTCTCAAATTAGTGTATGATTTTTAAAGAAGATACCCGGAGCTCAGGTGAATTATTGCAAATATAAAACTTAGAATTTATTTAAAAATAAAATTGTTAAAATTTCTTATAAATTTTCGTTTCAATCGCTCACTTTTAGGATACACGGCAGCGGAACGACCCGAACGAACCTTGTCTAAGATAGTTTTGCTAGAGGTAAGGATGATGTGGAAACGCTATTTTAAGTTATTTTTGAAGATGACAATCTTTTAATGAATAACAATCCTGGGAAAATAGTCGCACTGGATTACATAATAAAAGTTTGAAGACTGATGGAGATAGTTGTCCTTCCATACAAAAGACTATTATCCAATGCATAAGCTTAGCATTGTGGCTCTTAGAAGTGAAACCACAGCTTTTAACTTTTAACAATATCCATGTCGTTGGAGCCGGGGAAACCCTGGTATTTGGGTGTGTGTTGAGAGCTGCATCGAACTGATTTTAGCTATTGCCGTGTTATTCATACAGTTTTTTTTTTCAAAATAGGAACATAGCTGGTTTATATGTATCTAAGAAGTTACATATTAACTAAAATAAAGTTCCAATAAAACCGGTTATTATATACGCCTCTACAACTCGACAGCACTGACGCTCTCTTTCTCAATTTAATTATAAATGCACGCTCTTGGCCGCTTGGTCAAAACAATTCAAGCGGCTATGACCACTAGTATAAGCCAATTGGATTCAGTGCTTTTGCTAATAGAGACGATTGGACATCAAAAGGCCAAATGCGCGGATAGTAGTCGTATATTTGCCGCATACTATTAATTTAATTGTGGGCTAATAAAGGAACAACGAAGAAAAAAACGTTGAAAACGATAGAAAAGAAGATTAAAAATTTCGCTATAGGTATAAACAAATAATACGTGGAGACGAGAATAACTCTAAGAACCGAACTCATTAGCATGATAAATGGAATAAAATTTAAATAATTAAGCGCTGATGGAAAATGCAATAATTAAATTTACTTAACAAACTAAGCTTAAAATTGTGAAAAGAAAAAGTAGCTACAATCTTTGCAGTTCGTAGACCGATGAAGTTTCGAAATTTAATGTTGTTGCTATTTGTTCGTATTTTGTGTAACACAAATAGACCGAGGCAGTGAATCGTCGCCCTTGGCCGTTGAACGTTTCTACTACATGTGGATGGGCAAAGTGGACGTGTACAAGCATCTGATACAGCTGACATTAAATTGCGGTAGCTGTAATTGTGTTTTTTTCTCCGTTTTTGCCCCTTTTCACTTTCAGTTTTCAATGCCATTGACGCACTCGTGTTTGCATGGAAGCCCAACAGTATACAAGTGGGATAGGTACTTGAAACAAAAAATCGAATGCGCCCAATTTCTTAAAATACAAGAATAAAGAAAACCTTGAAAATCTTCCAATTTGAACTTATTTTGCTGTTTCCATTGATCACGAATAGTTTTCGAAGAGTGTTTTGTGTACAAAAAATGCTAAAATTGGAAACTATGTATGCATTAGTGTCTGTTTGTAGGCACACAAGTTTTCAAATGGGCAAAGAACACACGCGCCTGCCTTGTAATTACATATGTTGTTGTTGTAATATTTATTTTTTCGCTAAGTTTAATTAATTTTTCTATATTCTCTACACAGTTGCTGATTTGTGGCTAATCAACCAACCGATGAACTAACCAGCCCACTTGCCGACCTGGATAGCACCGAACAACCAACCGCCCAATCATCACGTTAGTCAATCGCATTACACGTCATTGCATGTTAAGTTCTCCTGCAGTTCAACAATCAATCTATCGGAAAATTAGCATTTGAATAATTAGCGATTTCGGCAAAAATGTTGCTGAGAACAACAGTGACCGCGGCTGCCATTGGACGCATCGCGTCTGAAATATAAAAACAAATCGAGTACCAAGCAAAACTCGCAGCACTAAATGTTAACGAACTTTGCGAAAACATCAACAAGAACATCCGCAGTGGGAACAGGAATTTAACTTTTCGCAGAATAAAACAAAATAAATACTATATAGCCGACGGAGAGGTAACACCCACGGGCACTTACACACACGGACGCACTTACAAATCCATAAGCGAGCAAAAGCCACGAAGTCATCGGCACACATCACCCAGCGACACCCACCTTTCCCCACATTGACGCACACATACACACGCATATTTGTTTACATCCCAAAGCCAACCGCAGCACCTATATATTTTCTGTTGCTATTGTAACGTCTAGTGATAAGAACAAACGCACAAAGTAGAGTAGTATGAGCGAAGAAGTTAACGCAGCAAGATAGTCAACACAGCAGGAAAAGTCAGTGGAAGGCAGAGTAGCAAATTACAAAAAAGGGAAACGCGGGAAGGCGCAGTAACGCGGACTCAGCGTATAACACGCCTAGTTAATTAAATAATTGATTTATTATAACATTTTTAGTAAGCGTAAAAATTTCTCAACACTACTACAAATAGCATACACGAAGCCAAATAGCAGATACCTGCACGTTTTCTCTCAACTTGCCAATAAAAGGGAAAAACAATTCAAAACTGAAAAAAATTGCCTGCGTGTCTATGAATATTTAACCAACAATATGACATCATACGCGACCGCAAATGATTCTAACACCACAGCGGCAACAATGGAAAACATAAATGCGACGAATGATACCGCAACCGCTGTAGACGCGAACACAAACGCAAACGCAGGTGCGGAGAATGTCGATGGCATGCGAAACTTTCACACAACTGTTGAACGCTCGCCATATGAAAGTCCAACAACACCATCAACGTATGACTGTGATGTAGCGCGCAAATTAGGCGAGACAACATTGCTGCAGCAGCAGCAGCAAGAGCAACAAGATCAGCAATTGTTAGATACACCAATGAGCAATTGTTGCACTGACTATGAGTGCGATTCGTTTTCAGACGGGCATGAGAAGACCGATACAACACCGGAAAATCTGAAGAAGATTGATGATGTCATTGAGCAGCACCAACACTTAAAAAATCGCCCATCCTCGCATTATCTTAGTAATTCGCAAGCAATAGCATCTAACGCAGCAGATTTTGAAAGAGAGTTTTTTGGTGCTGGTGATGTTGGCTATGGAGTTGGGCTCGCCGCGGCAGTTGATGACTCAAATGCAAAATTTTGCTTTGGCAAACCGCTTTGCAAAGAAAAAGGTGAGCAAAGTTGAAAGTAGGCAAGAAAACGTAAATAGCTGACTAAACATATCGTCGTTTAAAGTACAAAACCGCGTATCAACAAAATGCAAATACGCGTATAAAGATAATGCAAAACCGCGTATGTGAGGTTGCATACATTATTTTCTAGAGAGTAAAAACACTAACATTTCATAATGGTTCTCTTTTTTAATAAAGCAATCGCGTTTCAGTCTAGTATATTTCATGACGAATGGATAAGGATATAGCCAAGAGCTTGTGTGAGCAAATCCAATTTTTGGCAGCAAATGTTAGTTACGCGGTTTTGCAGAATGACGATACGCGGTTTTGCACTTTATTTATTAGTCAGTAGTATAAATGAATGAAGTAGAATGACGACAGGTCGGCTGCTCCATACCAAAACACAGTATGTGCTGTACTGTGTTTTGATGTAGAGAAAACAGATACTTTGCTTTGGAATGGGAAAAGATTAAAATTTGTGTAGATACTAGGTTTTAGATGCGTCGTATCTCCGAAAATCTTGCAGCTATCAACAAATAGGCCTAGTTAAAAGATGCGTCTAACACACAGTATATCCCAAATTATAAAAACCCGATTTTCCGAGAAAATGTTGGATACTGTGTAATGAAATAGAGCAGCCGAAGTTTCCTAATTTGAATGATTGATACTTCAGAACAGAATACATGTTTTAGAGTTCGATAAACATATAGAAAATAGAATCTTTAAGAAAAATAAGTACAAGGCTGATATCCCCGCCGCACTCTACAATGAGACGTCGCACAAATTTACTGAGGGGCTTGTGATTTGGCTGGGCCCCGAAACCTTTTCTCCAGATTCACACCCATCAGTGACCAAATCTCTATTCGTATGGAATAGTAGCTTATGTCGAAAGACTGGCTTTAGTATAATGCGGCATTCGCAGCATACGATTGCGAATGACTCACTTGCGCCGAGCCTTTACTAAAGCCAGTCTTTCGACATAAGCTACTATTCCATACGAACACAGATATTGTTTCAAGCCCCATTATCATCTAGAATCTAGGTCACCGAATTTTCTCGATTTTAAAATCAGCTATGTATGTATTTATAGCACAGATGATATATCTGACGCAAGAGTATGACAGGCACTATTAGGTAGTAGTCATCAAGAGTCTAGTTTGAAACTGCGTTCCCAAATAGGTCTTATTTTCTTCTCCTGAGCTCATTCGATTACATAAATATTTCGCATTTAGGCACCATACAGTTATAAAATCACTGCATAAGAGTTAATCCAATCCAGCTAGAGCGGAATAATCACGGCATCATTCACTCGCAGTAAATTTATCTTTATAAACTGCTTTTTTATTAGCGTCTTACACGTACGCTCATGTATATTTTTGCCTTTTTTCCATGTATTTTCAACATTTAAAGCTTACGTTCATTGTTAACTTCATTGTGACTTATGTCTATGTGCGATGGCGGCTGGCTGTGCGGTTGCATTGACTTCGCTAAAAATGTTAATTGTCATTCAGATTGTATTCACGCCGTACTTGCCGCGCCGCGGCCAGCGCATTCACATATTTGGATTCGTAGATTCGCATACACAAACATATGCATATTCGCTTATTACCTAATTCGGTTTGCACAGTTTTTTCATTATTGTTATTATAATAAAATTATCTATTTTATTTCTATTTTTGTGTGTAGTAGTGAAGTAATGTTTTGTAAGTTGGTTAGTTGGTCCACCGTTTTACATATCAGGAAACTATAAACGTATGAATGTGTATGTGCTTAAGTTTTATTAGCTCAGCTGCGCGTTGAGTATATTTTGACCGATAGACCTCAATTAGTTAAAATGCTGGTTCCTGAAGTATTCAAAACCTGTAGTCAGCTAAAAATCTATGTTTATGCCTATTGTAAACATATTTTGCGTGAGTTTGCAAAAAAAAGCAATCATAGTGTGCCTAGAAACTTTTTTGTTGTGCACAACATTTCTCCATTTTCACTTTTGTTTACCTTTTATAACTTCTGTTTACTTATTTTCAACCACTCCATGCATGTTTACATAGCTATGCATATATGTATGTATGCATATATGTATGTACTCCCGATTGTGCATGAGTTACAATGCGCTAAGTGCTTAAGCCATGATTCACCTTTAGCCGTATAGAGTTGTTAAACAGCATAGCTCAGTACTAGTTTTTTTTTGTTGATTTGGCCACATTTGTAATTCTGTTGCGCTAATCTGTAGCGTATCTGACTTTATCTACAGCAACATTCGACGGAATTTTACTCCAGCCATTTCAGGTTGTAGCTTGTCGCACCCTGACATATATGACTCATTTTGTATTGTTATTCGGTTTTTACCTTTGTTTTTCTTTTTTTTTAACAAAGCAAATAATTTGCGAGTTTTAAGAACGTCTTTAACCAAATTTGGTTTTCAGTCACCTGTGCGCTCATTTGCATACAAATTTCATATTTTTTAATAATACAATATCTTTTTCAACTCGTCGCCCACGATCGTCGAGTTTCCTTTTTATACCTTTCATGAGCATGAAATGGAATTATAACTTTGGTCCGATGTTTGTAAGTACCAGAATAAAAAGAGATAGACCCATTAAAATGTATACTTATATGATCAGAATGTCGAGCTGAGTCGATTTAGCCATGTCCGTCTGTCCGTCTGTCCGTCTGTTTGTATGCAATCTAGTCTCTCAGTTTTCGAGATATCCGGATAAAATTTGGTAGGTGGGTGTATTTTTATAATGTATTAATCATTTGTCGGAACCGGAAGAATCGGACCACTATAACATATAGCTCCCATACAACTGATTGTTCAGATATGAGATTTTTCATTATAACTTCTCCATTTATGCAGCTACGAACATGAAATTTTGCCCTGTTTTCACTGATTATCAACAGAAGACTTACAGTGAAAATTACAAAGATCGGGTCACTATAACCTATAGCTCCCATACAACTGATTGTTCAGATATGAGATTTTTCGTTATAACTTCTCCATTTATGCAGCTACGAACATGAAATTTTGCAGTACTTGCACCCATTATCAACAGAATACTTACAGTGAAAATTACAAAGATCGGGTCACTATAACCTATAGCTCCCATACAACTGATTGTTCAGATATGGGATTTTACTCTAAAACTCCTTTATTTGAATAGCTAAAGCTATTGAAACAGCTTCGATAAATTTCGTAAGATATTTTATAAATAATAATACAAAGTCTACTGAGAAAATCGTCAAAATCTATGCTGTATAAGCTTTATCTCCTATAGCACTGATTGTTAAGATACCAGTTTTTGCCATATATCTCCTTTATGTAGGAAACTAAACCCAATAAATTGTGTTACCGGTTTACATACCGATCACATAGCAGTGAAAATCACTTAGATTGGTGCCATATAAAGTATATCTTCCATACCTCTGATTGTTTAGATGCGATTTTTTATATAAGTATGTAACTCCTCTATCGATGTATGCAGATGTATTCAAAAGCAGTAATCTGTCAAAGTAAAATTTGCAGATGTTCATGAAAGGTATGAAGCCTTCGGCATAGCCGAAGACAGCGCTGCTCTTACTTGTTTTATTTCATTTCTATCCCTTTCATGTTTCTTCTCTTAGTGATGGCAATGGTGTTGCTACTTGCTAGGTGCGTTTGGCCATACTTTACATCCACTTTCGTTAATATTCTTGCTTAATGCATAGGCCGGTTACTTCGCAGATGCCACGCAAACTCAGGAGCAGATGGAAATCAACTTGAGTCAATATCTTTATAAATACACACTAATATTCGCTGAAAGCAAGAATTTGATATGTACATGTTTTTATAGTAGCTTACCAATACTTACCTACATCAAAAGACCCAGATAAATGACTAGGATTTAAATGGTTAGCAAGGTTAAGGTTGCCTAACACCCAACTGTATAAAAGTTCCCCTGTTGTTGTAACCTCATACAAATTCCCTAAAGAGTTTTTGAGGAGTGATGCCGGAGATAAGAATCTGGGAATAAGAAGTAAATCCAGGTCGTCCTGGTAAAGTTCGCCCTACTGTCGTGAAAACGTTTACTTTGCTGGCATTTCGGCTCGTTGAACTTAAAGCCAAGAATGCGGATAAACTAAAGTTCATCTGGTGTCGGTACAGTCGTTTGGAAAAAGATGTGAGAGTGCCGTGAGGACTCTGGCCGCTTATGGAGCAGCCACTTCTGAGCCAGCTTACTAAGAAAATGTTTTATTATCCGGTTTTTATTTCCATGTTTTATAGTCCTCAGGATATCCCTCGCCATAATGCTCCGAGTTTGTTGCTCATAGCGTGAACGGCCAAAATGGATATATTTCACATCTTAATCTGCAGTGCACACAGGGAACAGAGGCGGATCCTCTAACCCGAGGCAGTGTAAATATTTTCGACAGCAACCATAGCTGGTTACAGACTGAGTTCGATTCACCCAAATTTTTGGAATTAGCGATTTAGAGGACTGTTCCGAGCGCTGCTCTCATACTTCCAGAGAATCTGCCTCCATATCTACTTTCTGCCATATTTCCTTTCTTAATTGCCTTTCGATGCATACCGTTTCATAAGTTGGCCTTTAATGCGCCCAGAGCGTTGCTTCTTGCAAGTAAATATTTAAATGTTCCAATAGCAGTCCGGTTTACAGGATTTAGTCAGAACTTACTGGAAGTCGTTCCTATAGGCATAAAACTTGTATGTGAGAACTCTTTTGAGAGAGTAACTGAGCAACTGTTCCTAGTCGGAAGTTAAGTCGGTGCTATACAGAAATATTAGCCGTCATCGATTCGCCAACAGTTCGCGAATGACGAAACGAACGAACTCAATGAGGTGCAACCAAACTCGCTATCGGCTATCCGTGCTAGCTAACCTTGTTGTTGCTTTCACATGCAAAATTCTTCTTTAAGCGACCGGAACCCAAACATAGCGAGCGAGAAGTGGCGAATCGATGACGGCTTTTGTTTGGCAAACTGCGTGCAATTGTTGTTGCATC